CAAATGAATGCAAACTTAGGATCATGTACTCTAATTACATCTTTGCAGGGCAGCAAACTGTCCAAACATTCCTGTAGTCACCAGACACCTACATGAAGTTAAAATCTTAGTAATCGGTATGTATTACAAGAAACCTAAGAAAAGAGCTACCATTTAAAACAAGAGGAAACTAATACAAAGCATCAAACAGCTTTATAAGAAAGCTTCCTATATCACTGCATTTAAATGGTCAGTTAATTTTTTTCCCTCTTGTGCTTTGCACATGCACACAGAATTCAGGAAATACCAGTAATTCCAAAATTAAAAATATGAAGTACAGCACATTGGTTACAGATCAATTTTGAAATAAATTCTATTCAAACCTAGGGTAAATCTAATCTCCCAAAATTCTTTTGAATCCACTGCGGTTTTTATATCCATTCCAGACAATTTTACCCCTTAAGAACTGCCATATAAGGATCCTTTCTGTCAACTAGAACAGTTCAAAACGTAGAATAGCTATTCTTATTAAGATTGGCAAGGACCATAATATGAGACATATTTTCTAAATATTAAAAAAATTCCAAAGTAGAAATCATCCTATCATTCTAAGTTGTAGGACTCATTTTCTAATAATATCTGCAAAATCAAAAGAACATAATGATTCAGCTGTGTTTCTTGACAAATGGTAGGGTATATTGTACATCCCTATATAAAGACCAACAAGAAGCTGTAAATGTCCGAAGAACAAAAAGAGTCCCCTAACTACCTTAAAGATTAAGAAAAGTTCAAGCCAGCCCCAGTCACAGCATATACTGTGGTAATGAATGTAAAGCCTCATTCAAAACGCCTGTAGCTGAAGCCATTCTGGATTCAAAGGAAGAGAAACAAATTGGTTCCAAAGAAAGTATCTCATTATTCAAGATTCTCCCTATTAAGAAGCCTCAGCTGCAGTGATAAATTAATCATTGTTCATTAACACCTGAAAGAGAGGTCTAGGATCACACAGGCTAAGATACTGATCTCTGCCAGCTTAGCAGCTGATAAAGGGAAAGACGCAGCTTCTGCCTCAGTTCTGTACCCACTGGGAGGGAGCAGACACCCCTATATCAAAGCGCGCTCCAGTGGAACAAGCAAACCTGACATACTGTACGTGCCATGTGAGACATTTCCAGAAAGACTGGAAAAAGCACTTTTACATTAATGGACAAAACTTTGCAAATATTTGGTAAATAGTAATAATACATGGACAAACAATAGTCTGACATTACAGAAACAAGGAATAAAATGAGACAGAAAAAAATATTATGCATTTCACACAATGAGCAGATAATAATTGATATGGCACCTTGTTACAATAATCTGAACAGGTGAGCCTCATCAGAGCAAACACTGCAGTTCCTCACCTGGGATTGCCTCATCAGGTTATACCCTATGGTGCTGTAACATACGCCCAGAGAGCAGGCTGAAACGGATCTGTCCCACTCTGTCCCAGTAACAGATGGAAACAGTCTGCCTGACATGATTACCATCTGTATGGCAAGTAGAGAGCCCTTTGCAGGGGCCTTCATCTGCTGAAGTGTATGGAAGCTTAACACCAGTGTACATCACGGCCCATTGAATACAGCACAGCCTGTCAGTTCAAGGGAGAAGCAGCAGCACACTGAATTGCTAGCAATTATTTACGGTGTGATCCACTACTGTTGATGGCTGTATGGTTCTAAAGAAAAGTATCTGTAGCTTATACTGTATGCACTGGGGAGAACTGAGAGGCCTTTATTCACGTTACCTGTCTGATTGGTATGAATGCAGTGCCACAGGTTCCAGATAACAGAACAATGCGTATTTATTGTTGAAAAAAAAGATAATTACTTTTTACTATTGTGTACTATGTGCAAGGCATGAACTCCAATTCCTCATAGTTTGTAGCAGCATGTTGAAACTGGAATACATTGCACCACTTGGGCAAAAATATTATCATTCTAACCTGCTGCAGACAGGAACATAAGCAAATTCTTTGAACTTAAAACAAGTTGGTGTACTTTGAAGTTGTATTACAACGTCAATTCTATCCATGCTAGAGACCAAGCGAGAATCTTTGGAGTTTTTTTAATGTTGAGCGAAATTTTTTTTTTCTCTGAAAATCCGAGGAACCTGAAGCTACTGGAGATAGAAAAGGACAAGCCAGAAAGGCTCAAGTCAGCACCCTGGGGGTACGTATTAGGGCTTTTCCCACCAGCCCTCGTAATTAAACATAGCGTAACAGGCGTTGATGTCTTCGGCCTGGAAAACTATATATACTGTACATACCGAGCATATAAAAATAGAAAAAAAACCCATTGAAAACAAAAACTCTTTAATGCCTTCTATTTAATCTAGAGCAACAAACTTATCCTTTAGATCAACCAAATCTCACCAACATGTCGTAATACCAAACATGTCGGAAATATTGTTTTAACAATCTGGCACAACAATAGAAAACTAAAAAAAAAACTGCGAAGCCCTGAAAGATAATGTATTAATGCATTTATATTACTTCAGACATACCGGTAGAGGTTACTACTGCTTGGTTTTGAAAGCCACTTCTATGCGATTTGCCATATTAATATTCAAGGCACTTAAAATTCAGTACCATACAAACGCCTTTGAGCTTTTTAAAATCGCTTTGGATGTCGTGATATAAAAGTGTGCACATAGGCTAAATCGTTTAGATTTAAATAAATTAAATACAAGCTGATAACTAATAAAGTACGTTATCATTCTTTCCAGGCGGCATCTTGTTAATTGAGTGCTGCAAAATCTCAAAATGCAGTATGTAAAATGCAATAAGTGCCTAACTGAATTATTGCCATTCTTCTACCAGAGTAAGAGACTGAATCTTAAAATAGTGCAATTCCTTCAGTTTTCTACTTTGAGGTCGGAAAGCGTAAAATAGCAAGTGGATATGATCTCAGTTCGCTCTTTACTGGTATACACAAAAGGCAGCAATTACACGATATAGAATGAGATGGTAATGACATTAATGAAGATGGAAGTCTAAACAGAATATTTTTAAAGTATTAAACGTGGAATGGAGATTCGAGAAGCAATAGAAAGCGAGAGAAAAACACAAAAACAAAATTTAGGCGCTGTTTACTGCACCCCAAAAAGGTCCGATAAATCCAATAAATTCAGAAATATGTTTCATGTTTCAACAGATACATAACTAACATGGTTTTCTGAATGAGGTGTACTTCGAATTATATGTATTGGAAAGAAAAAAAGAAAATGAGTTTAAAAAGTAAAGGTCTTCGTTTCTTACCAATAAACATTCAATCATTTTGATGCTCACGATAATTTCCATCATAAATAGGTCAAGAGTAAAGAGTAGCGCGTTTATCAGTAAGAAATAGCTCCTGAAACTGAATATACAGTATAAAACTCAATTTAAGACGTTTTTCTCCTCTCTAGTATCAGATCCAAGTGTGTTTAGAAGAATCAAAACTTAACGTATAGAAATTAAAAAGAGAAAGTGCTTCATAACCATCAGTGATTAATGCTGATCGATTCTTTAATTATTGAGCATCGTAAGTGCTGACCATACTAAGTCGATCGATCGTCCATTTAGTATTCAATTTATTCTGTTAAGTATAAGAATTTGAACACGCGGCTATAACGCGCTCTCTGAGATGAATAGAGCTTTTGCTACACCTCCTCCCCATCTGTATTCAACAGAAGGCTACATGGATATTACAAATTTCAGCACGGACATACGTACAGTCTGCTCCCTGGGGATTCACCTCCTCCCCCAAAATGATTTCTGCTGCCGAGGAATGCGTCTTTTGTGTTTGACCTATTAATGTGATGCACGGAACTAGCCGAGAAACTTACCTTAACAATCCGAAACAGTTCTGCAACATACACTACTAGAGTGCTAGTTTGTCCTGAAATGTTTAAGAGAAACTCGAAAATCTAACTACGCTTCTTACAGTGCGTTGCGTTAAGCATCAAAGAGTTATCAATCAGAATATGCAAGAACTGTCAATGCACCACCAGTCCTAATTCTGTTTTCATTGTAACACAGTCAAACGTGTCTTCAGCTATTTTATTTTTAGACCGGAGACGAGATAATAATCACTAAATTCTGAATGCATAAAATAATGACTTTTAATGTCAGAATGACAATTGCTTTCAAGAACTGAAGTACCTTTTGTACATATGACTGAAAACGACAATTTCGTGTCTAAGAAGGTACCTGTTGAACATTGCTTAGCAGAAAAATTAAGTTTAGAAGTTTAGAACTACTGGCATTTAAGATACAGTTAGGAAGTAAAGTGTTCATTAGGCAGAATAAATGTTACCTAGGACCAGCACAATTCCGGAAAGGCTACGACTCTTGGACACCACAATATTCGGTTTTGCCGATTTTGTTCTAGTATGAGTGAGAACAGTGTCCTCGTACAGCGACTAGTCATGTGAGACGCCCTCCTTCATAAAATCAGTATATGGTGAAATGTTACCACAAAGACTTTTCGTGTCTCTGTACTTCATAAGACCTGAATACTGCAAAAAATAGTTTGTTTTTTTTAATCACTGCACGATGTTTTATTTGCTCCATCACTACTTACTGTAGGCTCAGCAAAAGTAGCCCAGCGACATTTATATTAAGAGCAGTGCGAGTAACACTGTCTAACGTTAGAGGAAAGCTGGAGCAAGGTAACCTAATTTAGCAGCAAGGTATCCACAGTATCCAGGCTGGCAGCTCAATCCTGACTGTTTCTGGGCTACACTGCATTGCAGTTTTAGCAGCATCGGTTTTACAAAAAGGCAGCTGTACTACAACTGTGAGACGCTCCACCAGAACTGACAGTTTTGGAAAACACACAAAACTATATGCACAAGTACTTGCATCCATGTTAATTTTTCCAATGCCATAACTCCAATAGTTGTGCCACTGAGAAACCACCGTATTCACAGTATTCCCTGAAAACCGGAGAGCGCACACAGCATTAAAAAATACAGAGACAATCCCATTAATTTACCTTCCACTGCAGAAACCGTAGTGATTAAACAGAAAATCGCAATCAAATCCACTGTCATGGCAAAGTTATTCTCCCCTACTTCTTGTATTATTATTAGCAAGAGGCGAGCGCGCACACAATCCTTCAGTTGTCACAAAACGGTATTCCAGTTTGTATCTCGCACCCTTCAGTAATGTATATTTTGAGTCACATTTCAAGCCGTAGTAAGTAGTATGCGAGAAGCTGCTTTGGACGCTGAGATGGGGGGCGGGGGGGTGGAAGAGGGGGTTCGGAGAGACCCCACTGCCTACCCCCCTTAACACCTTCTGGCCAATCGCAGAAATAAAATTGCAGATCCCGAACCAATAAGCAATGAGCGCCTCCTCCCAACAGCATTGTTGGTCTCAACAAAAAACTTTTCACTGGCCTATTTGAGCTGATGTCTGAGAAAGTGATATAGCACCGACTAGTGGCAGTTTATATATATTTCACCTTTTCTGGCCTTTTTGAGTCCGATTAGTCAAAAAAATAATTCAGAGTTTACAATGACGGTGTCACACCATCAACAAGGAAAAGAGAACCACGTTAGCACTGTTATCCTTTGTCTAACACTGCATTTGGGTTATTCAATCTGTATTTTATATACAGACCAACAATCCGAGCTATTAAAGATGTGATATCGGTTCAGTTCAGTTCTGTGGTGCTTAATTCATATTTGAAGTATGAAAAAAGCGAGTTTTTCTCATCAGCTGTACTACTGTACAATCTGTTGGAATGTGGACTATTAGTTGAACAATGATACAAAGAATTAAATACGTCTGAGGTTGTTTATCGAGTATTTAGAGTGATATTTGGCTTAACCCTCTTGACTGGCCTGAAGGCCAAGGAGGCTATGACCCCCGTGCACAGTAAGGAGTTAATGAAGAAGGAGTTACAAAGGTATGGATGGGGTACAAAGGGAAGGCTAAAATGCGAAAAAAGAAGCATGCGTACAGTACATTATAGACAGTAGGTAACGAGAAATGACGTATGGAAATTATTATGATTTTGAGCAGACGACACGAAAGTGGCGTGATTGTCATCCCGGCCGAACTTCAGCTGAACATTTCCATGTACTGTATTTGCACCGGAAAAATGACTCGTGATGTATTATATTCACACTATTACATTTATTTTAATATTACAATTCGTAACAGAAAAAGACGTTCTAGGTCAGATTCCCGAATCAATCTGATCATCTCAAACCTGCGATTAATACTACTGTAAATATCAAGGGACCGATTCTGTCGGTAAATATTGTAAATAGAACTGACGCATCAGGAAGCCATTATTTCTTTAAATAAAGTGCATTATAAAGGCTTAGGATTCGTTGTATCTGATTTATATAAGTATTTCCATCATGTCAATAGAGCATGTTATCAGTTAACAATTCATGTCTTTGGAGCCTAATTGTAGACCTTAAGAGCAGGGAGGTCCACATTGCCAGTGACAAGTCCACATACCAAGCAAAATGTAGCCTGTAACGTCATAGTCAAATCTTCAATAAGATCCCTTCCAATGGTTCATACTTACAGTACATCCACTGCGCCACGATGTCACCCCATTTCAGGAGTGTTTACTTGCATTGTAAATAACGTTTTGCCCCCAATAACTAAGTGAGAGTATGACTGCAGTACAGTACAGTACATTTCAGTCTTCTGTTCCTTCACTCAGTCCCTGTCTTCTTCACCCGTTACAGTGAATAAGTTATAGATTTTCCTCATAACCTTACCTCCTTTCTTTCTAATTTTATTTTTCTATGGACCAATATCATCTTTGAAGTTAAAAAAGCGAAGTTATAGTTTTGACTGTTATTTATTAACAATATACAGTACACTGCACAGTATTTGCAATATTTTTAGAAACATCTAACTGTTGTGACAGTTTCTCAGGTTTTGCACTTAATACACAACCGGGAAAGTGTTGCAGTTGATCATAAGCATGATTCATTTTGGGGCTGGCAATAGAAATAAACATCTGGAAAACATCGTGCAAGCAATTCATCCAACAACCCTCTGAGCCCCTCGTTTCCACACCTGCCTGAGGTTATTAGATAAATTAATTTGATGGCTTTGATGCAGTCATTAATAGAGTTTTCTATATGTGAAACAACACCAACACTAGACAGTATTTGTGCAGTCATTAATAGAGTTTTCTATATGTGAAACAACACCAACACTAGACAGTATTTGGTGGGGAGTTCCGTTTTTGTAGGCTTATACTCTGTATATTGTACTACTCAGAGCAAGGTAGGACTGTGGGACTGCTAATATAAAAAAGCAGCACAATCCAAATGAGGGAATTACAATGCTTTCTCTGTCCTGCTCCCTCTCTTCCGGTGCATTAGGTTGTCTTTTGTTTTCCAAGGTAAACCACAAAATGAATGAAACAGTGTATTCCCCATTGAGGAAGAAGTATCTCTGCCCACTGTAGCCCCTGACAGCTCATCTCTCAGAACTTCAAGAAAAATGCTACAAAGTCTGGCCTTTTGTCTTTCCCCGTGCTTATCCCAGAAAAGTGTTTTTATGGATATATCCAGGGCAACAGTTGGTTATTATTGGAAATAACCTAAGTGAAAGATCCACAGAAAGTCAAACAGGAATTAGTTAAAATGTGCTAGTAGAAATTAAAGAAATATGAGGACACGTGGACTAAATTTGTTTTGCAATGTGTTTTTTTCAAGTTGGCCCACTGTTAAATGTGTTGCACAGTAACTGCTTTAAAATTATCTGCCCACCTACTAAGGTGGGTTTTTCAGGCCACCGGTAACGGACCTCCCCTCCTCGAGTACTGGCACACAGGAAAAGAGGGCACTGCGGGAGGCTCTTTGTAGCATCACGCTGAAAAAAGACTCGCTCTGCCGGGCATCGTGTTGTAGAGGTTCACTCCGTGCGGATGCAGGGGATGGGGGACTGTTATCTTCATCAGCACACAAGAGCTGCATTTGCATTTAAAATGCCATTTAATTGCCTTGCAAATATATGACATTACATGTACATTTCATAATGATATTTGTGGGTTGCGCCCCCCTCCTCCCCCACTGCTCTGCTACCCATTGTGGCTGCCTGCTTCAACAGATGGTAGATACAATGCCCCCCCCCATCCTTGGAGACTTGCCGCAGACACAGGGCTGCTGACAGGGGCTGATATTTGCTTATCAATAAAGGAGCTCCTACACCTGTTTCTTTTCAATTATTCCTTCTGTTCCACTGGGCCAGGGCATCACGGCTGAGGCCACAGCCCCATCGCAGCCTCTTGGACGGCTGGAGTCAGATAACGCTCATCCAGGACCATCTCTGGCAGACTTTTGCTCAGCTTTATGTCAAGTGGTCTAAAAAAAAAAATACTGAGATGTGGGGAAAAAAAGCAACCCAACCAGCATAAGCAGTTAAAGGAAGTGTGAGACACCTACGCACGTTTAGAGGAAGGCTGAGCAAAACGTTTAGAGCCTGACTAGCAGGAGGTGAATATTCTACAGCCAAATATGTTCATTCTGAAGGTCAGACTCGCCTTTGGTACCAATATGTCACGCCCGTCCAGGTTTCTTTTTCAGGAAGCCTCAAGTGCATATAAAACAATACTGTTAATAACTGCACCGTATTCCTTTAATCATGTCTTCTTAAAACGTCTCCAGTGCTGCTGACTGTTCTTGCAATAAGGAAATGCCACCCTGTTAAGCCAATAATTGTGCCATTAAAGTAAATGAATGTTCAAGCATTTTATGTAAGATACAACAGTATTTTACATCTTAATTGCTTTCCAGTTGTTAAACCCATCATCTGTCTTTTACAGGGGGTCTGACTCCTTTGGTAGCTAGTGACCTCCTGTTTGATATATCAGTTCAATTTGCAGTTTTTCCATTTCCAATTTTCTCTGTTGGTTTGTTTATGTGCTCAAATCTAGACTATTCACGGGCATGTGGTAATGGTATTAGTAGCTCATAATATTATAAAATGATATATAACAAGGGCTCCCTATTACAGTACCTGTGCTCCTGCATAATGTAGAAATTGCAGTGAAGTACAGGCATAGACTCTGGATTCACCATATTACCTTTCCTATGTGTCCCACTGCTTTGTAATCCTTAAAAAATGCTTTTAGAATCTTAGAGTTTATAAACCCACTGTGTATAACAAGCTAAAATAACTGTGACAAATAAAGGTCTTACTTTACTGCAAACTACCACCACAGAATTCCATGTATATTAAGCATCACTATATTATATTGATATGTTGAAATTAAGTATATTGCAACATCACTTACAGTATAACTTACATTCAAATAACTTGTTCATTGTTACTTTAAATATTTGTGAATTTTCTTTAGAAATCAGGAGAATGACTCTTGTAGCATTTGTGGTGACGTTTTATTGAACAGGCTTGGCATACACTGTAGGTAAATTTATTTTGCTGATTAACATGCATCACCAGCTGGGGATCTACTGTGAAATTTACAGGATAGTAGCATCCTAACCAGTATTGGAACTAATACAAAATCCCAGTATTAAGCAAACAAGCACCAAATTAATTATACCATAGATAGTGAATTGCACTTGCACTTTAGCATTTTAGAAGTGTCAAAATAGAAAACATGCGTTGGACAGGAAAGCTCAGAATGCAGAACAGTTCATCAGGCCATGCTGCCTTGCCTGTACTTAATGCCAAATGCCTTTTAATTGATTTGTCTGACAACAACCGTAGCATCCAGCTCTTAGCCACTGAAGTGAGAATGCAGCTTTCAAAAAATGCCAGAAAAAGAAAACCAAGAGAGAACCTGTCAAGCTGTCAGTTTTAAAACGCCGGTAAGCTCAAATTCCATCCGGCATTTTTTTAACGGTCCAGATGTTGTTTTTTGTTGTTGTTGTTGTTGTTGTTGCTTGCAGCCGTAAAAGAAAATAAGGATCTAGAAAACTAAGAGTGTTAGATGTGGTTGTATACACTCTTTATATTCATGGGATTAGCGCTTGTCATATTTTAGAGTCTCAACAAACAGTATACACACCAGTTTGAAAGTGTTCCATCTAGCGAATGCCTTTGCTTTAGTATAAAAGAAATAATCTCTATACTGCTCTTCTAACCACATAAACAGTGCCCTCTAAAGGTATCAATACAGCCAAGTGAAGGCAAATTTGTAATTGTGATATATGGATGTTGTATACTATGTACAATATAAGATCAATTTTATTTTTTGGTAATTCCAAGCATCCATTC